GGGAAGGAACATACGAGTTTGAGACCCTTGAAGGGAAACAAGTACCTCGGGCATGGAATATTGTCAACTTAAGACAATACTATCTGTAAGAATTTGGTAGGCCACGAGCCACTCCCAAAGCCTAAGGGCCAGAATACCGAGCTAACATGACCCCGGCACAATAGGACCCAGTCGCCTCTATAGCATGGGAAGACTCTGACAGTGGGCCACGAGCCACTCCTCCGGCCTAAGGGCTGAAATGCCGAGCTAATGAAGAAACCTCGGCAGCATACAAGACTTAGTCACCCCATCAGCATGAACTAAGTACTTGTAGCGCCCAAGGTGCAGGCGGCTCAGGCACGAACCTTGTAACGAATAGCCCGCCCTGGCTTGCAACAAGTTGAACCCGTTAAGGACAATTGAGGGCAACCTACCCCGAGTCCAAACAGGTCGGGCATATACCCTACTATGTCACTCACCTCAGTGTACACAAGGCTACCCCTACTAAACAGTTCGGGACCACGATGGCAGTTAAGGAACACCACTCCGGGAGTTCAACTCGATAGTTTAACAACTTGGGGTGAGACAACCATTTCGGCAAAAATAAATTGCACAAACACTTGGCAAAAAATATTTCTTCATTACATAAATTTCATTAAAAATGTCTTGATTACAAAGAGAAAGGGAGGAGACCAAGTTTGTAAATACAGGGACCAAGCTATTTTGGAATCCCATTGTCTCTGCTAGGGGCCTCCTCGGGGGCAGTAACTGGGCCAGCATCCTCTACTTCATCTTCAACGCCTTCATCATCAGAATCTGGATCATCTTTTGACTGACGCGCGACGTCGTCAGTGATCCACGAAGTGGTGATGGCGCTCGTATTCAGGTCCGGGTAGAGGTGCCTGATTAGCCACCGATTGAGCTTGAAGCCCTTGCGGTAGGCCTCGGTCATCACATCGTCAAACCTTGAAGATCTAACATAGTCGGTGACGGCCTAAGCTTTGGCCTACTTGAGAGCATCCTCGAAGATCACCGTCTTCTCTTTAATGTCTTCTTGGAGGTACTCCACCTCGCGCTCCAGCTTCCCCTTTGCCTCCTTGAATCCCTGCATCTCAAGCTTCAGGGCGTCCCACTCAGCCTTGAGGCTGTCCACCTCGAGCCCCAAGGCCTCTTGGCCGACCTTGAGCCCATTCACCTCGGCCCTCAACTTGTCCTTGTCTCGGGCCAGCTCGCCCTTCTCCGCCATGCACCTCGATGAATTTCTTCTGAAACAAGGCATCACTCTCCGGGCGGTGGACATGACTGCGAACTGCCCTCAGTTCTGTATGGGCTGCGCGGGATGACTTCTCAGCCTCCAAAGCCCGCCTCTGATGCCGATATGATTGAAGGGTCAAGGCGCGAACGGCGGAGTTCACCTGCAAAAGGGAATCCAGAAAAAAAAAAAACTCACCACCATAGTATAGGTGGCAGCTCGGGCACCGAACTGACCAGGAGTGAGATCAGCCCACTCGGTGACCTCCCCCGGGTATGCAGCCAGCTTGCTCTTCTCCAAGCTGCACTGGGGATTCAAGACGGTTTGGCTCCCCTGACCCTCGGAGTTGGACGTCGTCATCTCTACATCACGAGTTGACTCCTCAAAAGCCTCAGCAGGATGAGCCCCGGTAGCAGCCTCTGTAGCCCAAGCCTCAGGCAGCGCTCTCAGCAGCAGGTTTGGTGGGCTTAGCAGAGGGCTCTCCTACCACCTCGGACCCCTGAGGCACCGCGTCCCCTTCCAGGTCGATGACAGGTGGAGTGCGTGGGAGCTCGGGCTCCGGAGCTGAAGTCTGCGGAGGTTGAGTCTCGGTTGAGGCTTACGGAGACTCAACGCGTGCCTTCTTGGCTATGCGCTTCTTCCTCTTCATCTAGCGGAAGAGTCTTTGGTTGCCAATCTTCTCTGCCTCCAAGGGACCTGTAGTGAAGCTCAACGTTAGCAATACCGAAGTAACATACAAACAAAGGGCCAAAATAAGGCAAAACCTACCCGAGCTCAAGCTAGCCTAGATGAGCTTCTCCTCGGATGTGAACTCCTTATAATTTAACCCAAGCTGGGCCAGCGACTGGAGCTCCTTCTTGGTCTTCCCATTTAGCATGACGCCGGGGTCTTGAATGGCCACCCTCCAGTCAGTAGGGAAGGGCCACCCCGTGCTGCTCTGAACTATGAAGTAGTCCCGCTTCCAAGCCTGGACTTTACTCGAGAGTCTGTGCATAAGCTTGAAACCCGGGCGGGGAGATAGGTAATAAGACCGTCTGTGCCCGGGGAGAGTGCCCGAAGCACTCTTCTTTATGGCCAAAATGGTGCTAAGAACGTCCAGGTCGATAGGGAGAGATCGGACAAAGCAAAGAGAAATGGTCCCAACTATATTGCGTATGGAATTCGGGTGAAGTTAGTCCAAAGTAATGTTGAAGTGCACCAGCACCTCGGTAATCAAGTGGTGAAGAGGGAGTCGGAGTCCGGCTACTAACTGCTCCCTGAAGACCACAATCTCATCAGGACCGTGCTCCCATGGGAAGTTGCCGGTAGGGAGACTGTATGAGTACTCCTCGGGAAGGTGAAACCTCGGTATGAGGTCCTGGAGCCTCTCCGAGGTCATGGTGGAAGGGCCGAACTGGTCCGACACCCGACCTTGGTTGGAGGTGAATGCCAGATTACCCGAAGCCAAACGTGCGTTGGGTGGCGGAGCAACCGAAGAGCCATCTTGGGCCGAGGTACCCACCTCGGGCTCATCGGCTAGGCTACCTACGCTAGACGACATGACAGGCATAAAGGAAAGCAACGAACTGGAGGGGAAAAGGAAGCTCGGGAGAACTCACCAAAGGAACGCGACCGGACTGGGAGAACGGGATGAACTGGAAGACCGGAGCTAAGAGACCTCTCGCGCGAGCTCAAACACTGAGCTAAGGGTCCCCCCTATTTATAGCCACAGCTGCGGGCTCCTCGAGGCGAAAACGGTTTAGCGCGTTCGTCCGCGAAGTCCAAATCGCGTGAGGTCCACGCGTAAACTGGACGCGACTCGGGTCTATCTTGATCGAACTGGGCACTGGACCGGTCCAGCTGGACGGAGCGCGCGACAAAGTGGCATAACTGCCGATGCCAAATCCACCCGGTGCGTCATGACCTCCCCGCGCTGGGTCATTGCCGCCAGCACAAGGAGTCAGGGGCAATTGATGGAGGGTGATTTGGCCCGACCTCACAGCACGGGTACACGTGGGCGTGACCTTGCTCAAACAGTGACTCAGCATGCCAACGCAACAGATGCATCCATAACTCGGAGGGAAGGTCCCACCGAGTTCGGCTCGGCAACTGGGCAGATAAACTACTCGCCGGGAGCCGCCTTACCTTCACCTCCTCCCCGGGGTTAAGGCACTTCGGGGTGCCCCGAGTTCGGGGTACCCTGACCTTCCTTGATGCCCGAGCTCCTCCCGATGGACCTCGGGCCACTCCCAGACAAGAACACACCGATCGATCTCTGGACACCCCGAGGTATAGACACCTCGGGTCAGCCAGCTCGGCATAACTTGCTATAGGCAGCTCGTCGCTCAAGGGATAGCCCGACGCAAGGTAATTCGTGGAAGGGTAGTTCGGTATACCGCAGGAAGGCTTCCTGCCCGACCATCGTACCCGACAAATCTGGGACAGCCACCATGTCCCTTGTCAGATAGTGTCGTGCCTACCACCTCTAGAAGGTGTCTTGTACCTGACATGCACGTACCTTGCAGTGACGATCCCGCGCGTGTCACCTTAGCCATGTCTGTAACGGCTGCGACAGGTTGGCAGTGGCGGTTGTACCCGTCCTGTCAGAGGCCAGTGGGCCTGATGCAACGGAATTCAGTTATAAGGGGCCCATTATCAGAGAACAGGGTATCTTGAAATCTCTTGCGCTACCTCACTCTTAGCCTTTATCCTCTTTTTGCTTCTTACACAGAATACTGACTTAATCGTCGAAGCATTCCTGCCGGGCAAACCCCCCGGGGATTCTTCTTCTTCCTCATCTCAGGTACCTGTCGGGAGCCACGCGAGTGCCAGTTAGGAGTGACCGGTTTGCGCACCATCAGTACCCCTCCCACCAAATTACCCAAATTACCCCCAACCTAAATTACCCAACCAAAATTACCAAAATACCCCTCTTCCAAAAATTACCAAAATGCCCTTGTCCAAATTACTTAAATGACCCCTTTAACTAGTTCCCAAATTACCCCTAACCTAATTCCCAAAAATGCCCCTCTTTCTAAAACCCTCATACATCACCAAATACCCTTGACTAAAATTACCAAATATCCTTCACTTCAAATACCCTACATTCCTAAATCGCCAAAATACCCTTGACCAAAATTACTAAATACCCTTCACTTCAAATACCCTAAATTCCCAATTCCCAAAATACCCCTTGACCAAAGTTACCTAGTACCCTTCATTTCGAATACTCTAAATTCCCAATTCCCAAAACATCCCTTGACCAAAATTACCTAATACCCTTCATTTTGAATACCCTAAAATGTCATGGGCAAATTCCCAAAATATCCTTAACGCAAATTACCGAACTACCCCTCTGACCTTGGTCCCAAAATACCGTCTGACTTAATACCCCTCCTACCAAATTACCAAAATACCCTTCCTACCAAAAAAAGCAAAAGACCCCATTTTCCAAAATTCTCAGAATACCTTTCCCACCAAAATTACCAAAATACGCATTTCCCAAAATTCCCAGAATACCCTTCATACCAAAATACCCCATTTCCCAAAATACCCTTCTTACCAAAACTACTGAAATGCCATTAATCAAAATTCCCAAAAATGCCCTTCCTTCCAAAAGTACCAGAATTACCAAAATACCCTTGACCAAGTTACCCGAAATCCCCCTTGACCTAATTCGCAGATTACCCCAATTTTATCGGAAATACCAAGTCGATATCCCCCAAACCCTACCTTACCTACTATAACCCTCCTTTTCCTCAATTTTTGTTTAGAAACCGCTCTTCCCTCTCATTATAAACAGTAAGCACCATTCACGTTCACAAGGGGGTCGAGAGGGGAAAGCTTAAGATGGACTCTCATTGGTTTTCCTAGATAGGGCCTCTCGGCTGAGAACAGTGAGTTCCGAAAGGGAGATAGAATTGAAGAAAATCAGAGGGAGAAAGGGAGATCGAGTGACAGAAATTTGAGAGAGAGCTCGAGTGAGGGAAGAAAATCAGAGGGAGGTGTGAAAGAAGGAGAGGGGGGAGGTCTGAGAGAGAAAGAGGAGAGTGGTGGCTCGAGGCAAAACCCACGATCCTCGTCCCATTTCTGGTGTTATCATCCATCTTCGAGGAACTTCAACCTGCACTACTGACGACCATCACAGCTTTGCCGATGAAACCTCCACCCATCACTTCTCTGCCATCGACTTGCTCCCACTGCTACTATCGAATTGCCACGTTGTTCTTTCCAGTTCGTCAAATCCGAGTTTTGCCAGTTTTGCAGTATCAGCATTGTTGATTCTTGTGAAGGCTACAAGAGGTAAATCTTCTACCTCCCCCTTCGTATTTTATTTATGTATTTTTTAGGGTTGTTTCTGCTTGTTGAATGACCAAGATTGATAGTCTAGCATTTGTTTGTTTTTTTTTTTTTTCCTTTTTGTTTCTATTTTTTCTTGCTTTCAACTTACTCAGATTCATTGTAGTTGGACTACGGTTGATTTGGGTCTCATCTAGTATTTAGAGGAGTTATTTCTCTCTCTCCCCTCGTAGACTTACCAGCCAAGTCCGAAGGTGTAGAAAAGGGGTGGGGATTCTCATCCTTTTGCTCAGGTTCCTCGTCCAAAAGGGGTTGGTCTTGATGGAGGGAAGATGTGACCTCAATAACACCATTCTGGCTTGTTAGAAATGTGGACTCCACTATAGTATTTCAGTGTTTTCTTGTATGTTTTCTTTATGTTAGAACCTGGTAAAAAAAGAAAAGGGAATTCGTGTTCACATCAACAAGAGAGAGGGGTGCCTAACCCCTTCCCCCTCTCTCTCTCTCTCTCTCAACTTACCCGGAATAGCCTTGTCTTGGACGGGCAGTATGGAGTCACTACCAATTATGGAAAATTTTATTGATTTCAATTCTGGGAGATCCATCGCTCTCCATTATTGATTTCAAATGGGTGGCAACTCCATATCCTCAGCCATGACGTGAACTATCGGGATCATTTTCTCAACGATCACAATGGTGGTGTATGATTTAGCCTGGTTTTTTTTTTGTGCTTCAGTAGGATCGATAAGGTCTAATCGGGTGTTTAGGGTGAATTAGGGGTTCAGGTGGTGGATCGAGCAAAAATTGGGTGTTGACACACGTGTACTTGTTAAGCTATTTAATTTAAGTTCTCCAATGGTGTTACATTCTCCCTTGTTTACAACTTTCTTATTAATTTTGTGATACATGTAAAAAAGTATTTCAATGAGATTCTTTTGGATTAGTAGGTAGATTTCTTGTCCTTATTTTCCTTCGTTTTTTTAATAAACTCCATAGAGGGGTTTTCATCTTCTTACCATTTCATCTTTTTTTTTAAAGGTAAGCATCTCAAGGGTTTGATAGATATTATGTTACTAAACAAAGAATCTTCTACCATGCTTGTCATCGGAGTTCAAAGCCCCTCCACCACATGGGCTAGCAAATCTTCACTTAAAGAAATGGGTAAATCTCTTAAACTACCCTTATTGTTTAGCGTAATGACATGCGGTACCCCAATTGTTTAACTATTGTCTTGCGGTACCCTTAAGTTTTCTAACAATTGTCATTGTCGTTAAGTGTTAATGGAAGGAAACGAAATGTCAAAATTTCCCTCCACTATTTCTCAAAATTTATCCCATATTCTTATTCTCTTTCTCCATCTTCCTCTACTTATCTTCTGGCCTATCCACCATCATCTCTTTCTTCCGTCGCATCTCCAAAACCTTGTGGTGGTTGTTAGAATGAGCATCACTCGAGAACGTAGGGCTACAAGTTGGTATTTATTCTGGCAAGAGCCAACTAGACTTGTAACGAACCCCACAAGCATTACAGAGGGTCTTGGCCCCCCGCAGACCTTTTCTCCATTGTGGGGTCTTCTAAACTTGACAATGGTTGCACCTACGAGTAGACCTGTTCATGGGACGGGCTTAGGCCGGGCTTTCACTTGTCACTAATGAAAATATATTAGACCCGAGCTCGAGCATGGCCCGACCAATGGGCTTATAACTTGGGCCTGAGCCCGGCCCTGATAAAAACCCGAAACCCGAGCCCGAGCCCGAAGCTCGACCAAATTGAAAAAAAAAAACAAATTTCCCTATTCAAATTAGAATTAAAAATTTATATAGTATTTTTTTCTATTTAAATGAACAATGGGCCTACAAGATGGTATTTTTCACTTTCTTTTATATTTTAAAACACAATTTTATATTCTTAAATCAAAAAATTTATTCAAATAGACATTAATCATGTTAGAAAGTTTTGTATGCCCTTAGCTTCAATCAGAATTATGTATTTTATGAGTTTATTGTAAATGAATAAAAGTGCATATTTGATTCATGTTCCCTTAATATGTTTCTGTGTAATACTCTTACGCTATACACTTTGATTCATTAGGAGCTGATCTTTAAGATTAACAAAAGAAGGAGGGGGCGACAGCCTTTAGAAACACACACAATCAAATTTTTTTCAGTGCTGAAATCACAAGAAGAGAGAATTCTGCACCATATGAATACTCTCTTGCCGCCTCCTTGTTCTTGTCATTCTGTTTGCCAGTTCGATCTCCAGTTGTGGGAGAAATCAAGATTCGATCTTGACATTAGTTCTTGTGAAAGATAGAGTTCTTGGAGAATAATACTACTGATTCTGCTTCATCTTGCACTGCGCCATCTTAAGTGGGAGCAGTCTTTGGATCCTTCCTTGGGCGTGAACACTTTCGTTGGGAGATACTATTTCTCTGTATCAGGTATAATCCTCTCCTACTCTTTTTGGTTTAGATCTGGTTCAGTTTATAGTTCAAGAATGATCATTGAAAATATGATTTTCTAAAATAGGGAATGTGATTCCCAGTTGAAGGGAGAGAAATTTTTGAAATTCACCCCCTTATTCCTTAATCTTTGGGCGTCCATACGATGGATCTCTCATCCCTTCAGTGGTATAAGAGCCAGGTTCAAATCTTGAACCAATTTGTTTCAGATCTGAACTTGCGCAAATGGGCAGAATGCGTTCTACCTGATTTGCAGATTTGGGTTTTGGGAAATTTGTTCCCAAAATTTAATGGGCGAATAATCTGAAATTAATTTTATATAAATCTGATTATTATTTAGAAGTGTTCTTTATGATTTTCTTGATTTATGGGTTGTTCGTACAAGATGCGATCGAATTCTTGATTTGCGCAGGGAACCTGCAAGATTTGTAGTTTCTTGATTTATTCATTACATTTGGTCTGTAAATAATTTTTTTTTATTTTTAGACTGAATGTATAAGTATTCGATCTGATGTAATCATTAATAGAAATAGGATTTCTATTTATTTTATTTTGGATCGAAGATGGTGGCGTAGAAAAGGAGATTTCGTAGATAAGGAGATTTCGCATATGGGAGAACTACAATCTGCGATTTGCAGTTTATGAAACTACAAACTGTGATCTAACCTCTGTTTTGCAAGATGGATTGTGCGAACAGCCATGATTGACTGATTCTTGTTTTTCTTTTATCAGTATTTAATTTCAGATTATTTTGTTGAATTAAAGATTTAATTAAAAATCAAACCTTAGACCCATTCGAACCAATATTGGTTCAAATTGTTTGGACCGAATCCAGGGTTTAATCAAGGCTGAAAGTCAGTCCTAATTTTCTTACTAATGGGCATGAAGATTGATGTTTAATTAAATGGTTAATTCGGCCCAACCTGTAAAGGCCCAGTTTTAAAAGATTAAAACTGCTAAAAGCTCACTTAACATTTAAAACTATATGGGCTGAATCATTCGGTTCATATACCTAGATAATATTAATGGTTAATATTATGRATTTAAAATGGGCTTCAAATGGGCCTTACAAATGATTAATTGATTGGATCAATTTATCCCTGCATGTGATGTATGGATGTGTGATGTGCTACGTACATGGGYCATAAGTGCTTGGCCCATGCTCAATCGACAGTGGTTCTTGTGCACACCATGGCTAAATGCATATCATTGCCATGGTGTCCCTTTTATTCATTGGATGACCTCCTTCAGTGGTGGGCCCCACACCTCATCAAGAGGTTACGTGTGGAACCCTAGCCGATTTAGGCCCACCAAAATCTGGCTTTTGGTCAAGGGGGAAGTGCAGAAATATAAAAGTTAATTAATTAAACGAAAAAATATAGAATTGGAATAGTACTGAAAGTTAAAAGTGCAGCAACATAAATAAATACAAAAAAAATAACAAAAGAAACGAAACAAAAATCTGTAATCCGACCAGAGGTAACAGTCTTCGGATCTCAAATTTGACCCTCGAACTTCTCGAACTAGGCCTTCAGGCTTACTTAACCAAATTGCAGATCAACAAAAAATAAAACGAAGATCAAAAGGAATGAAAATAAATTGCAAAAAGTAAATAACGAAAATGGAATTGAAAGAATAGAAATTAAATCTAAAACTAAAGTGACTGGTTGGGATCCGATTCCAGAGGTGGTAGTAGTGGGGTTGGTGAACTATAAGTAGGAACCCCTCCTCTTGCCTGGGCATCCGCCTCTACATCTACTCTTGAATTTCTCAAGATCAGCATTTCGTCTTACCTACGGGTAGAATCCACCCTTTCTCAGGAGCCATTGGGTTCTTTTTATAGAGAAGGGTGGATCCAACTGGGATTAGAAAGAAAGAGGGGGGTGGAATCTGTGTTTTAGCAAAGATTTGGGTGCCCTAGGGTTTCTAATGAAGGGTTAGGATGATTCTAGGGTGATCCTAAGGTTAGGAAGAAAAGGAAAGGCACCCAATATTATGTAAGGTTATGATTTAATGGCTAAAGGCTGAATAGTAAAGATAAGAAGTTATGCGGATCCTAGGGTTAGAATGCTAAAAAGAGAGTGCCCTAGAATGGATGGTAGAGATTAGAAGAGATGGAAGGTGAGGATTTATCTGTTAGGGGTGGCTAGGGTTTGTTAAGAGTGAAAAGAATGGGTTAAAAGGTGCCTTAGGGTTTGCTAAGGCCTGGGGAGCATGCTAATACAGTAAGTGGCGCCCTCTTGCTTTCAGTTTTTCACAAAAACACCTCTCTCTCTGTTGGACTTCACACCAGCTTCCCAAAATCTACATTTCAGCCACGAAAACTTCATAGATTTCCGTAGAATTTCCACAGAGACCCTTAGAGGCCACAACATTGCATTTAACGGGGAAAACGGCTCATCTTGACTATTCTAAGGCCAAAAATACCCCTGAATTGATGCCCTTAAGGCATCAAAATGCAGAGTTATCAGTGTTACGTGTATGAATTTAGACAAAACATTAACGGATATTAACGGCCGGGATAGAGCTAGTCATTAGTCAGAAAACTTAAGGGTACCGCAAGACAATAGCTAAACAGTAGGGTACCGCATGCGCTAAATAGTAGGTGTAATTTCAGAGATTTACCCTAAAGAAAATATAGAATGGAACTTAGGTTCTTCCCATTAATTTCAATTTGGTTAAGCACTCAGTGCTAAAGATTAATGATGTAACCAATGAGGTTTAAGAACATAAATGAATCAAAACTCTTTAAAAGAGTCATTTTACTTCATGGATATTTACAATGGATTGGTTGATTTTGAATTGATCCCTCTCAGTGACTGTAATTATCTTTCTTTAAGATCCTCGTCGCATCACAATTTCCATGACTCCCAAACCTTACCAACACATTGATTGGCCACCCATTAAATTTCAGACCTATAATATTCATTTTACCCCTTCCATAGATAAAATTCCACATTGAGTCCTCTCATTGGCATCAATTATCCAAATCCAAGATCATCACCATACCAACCAAGCTACTCAATCCTTACCTACATTATTTTAAACCTTTCAATCAACCACCCATTAAGTTTCAACCCTAAAATACCCATTTTACCCCTTTTCTAGATGAGTTTCCAAATTGAGCTCTCTTATTGGTCGTAATTATCGTAACCCAAGATCTTTATCGTGACACTACTTCCCAAGACATCCATGCCCAACCAAGACAACTAATTATCCTAATCCAAAATCTTTAGTGGATACAATTATCTTACGCTAAGATCTTCACCATGACACAACTCCCAAGACAAGTAAACCAAACCCTACTAATACCTTTTTAAACCTCCAAATTAACCATTCGTCAAATTTTGAACCCCAAATATCCATCCTACGCTTCTATGGGCGACCCCTGCAGGAGGGTAGGGCAAAATTTCAAAAATTTCTCTGTCTCTCATGTGGGAATCTCATTCCCTATTTTAGAAAAATTGTATTTTTCAAGGATCAATCTTAAACCAAGAACCGAACCAGACATGAATAAAAACAATAGGGGGGGATATACCTGATACGAAAAATAATATCTTCCAATGGAGGTGTTCACGCCTAAAGAATGATCCAAAGACTCTTCCCACTGAAGATGACACAACGAATGATGGAGCAGAATCAGCAGGGTCCGTTCAATGAACCGAATTCTTCAGCAGGAATTCAAAGGAGGTAGTGAGCATGACTTCTAATCAGCCTTTCTCCAAAGACTGATATCAAGACTCTTCTTGATTGCTCCTACAACGGTGGAGATCGAACTGGGTAGGGCGGCAACTAGAGGAGAATGCAGGGAGAAGATGGCACAACCACACTGTTTGATGTCTTCTCTCTAAGTGATCTGAGATCTGATCTCTGGATGCTGGGATGGGCTGAATGGTTCGCCCCCTCCTCCTTTAAAAGAGCTCCTAATCTCATTAGGAGTTTCCTAATCCAAATCTATATTTGGATAAGTAGTTCTCATTAAGAGGTAAGTATAAGTCTTTATCTTATCGGCATATTAGATAAGCACTCTGATAATCTTATCAGGAGGATTCCATATTCAAATCCTTGTTTGAATCAAGACTCTCTTTGTGGATAGGGATAAGATCCTATTCTATCTGCTGATCCAATCCTAGATCTGCCACTCTTTAATTAGTTTAACTAAACCAGTTCGAAATGGGCTTTAGGCCCAATAAATCTGCTGATCCAAATTGCTGCCTAGTTGGGCTTACTTGTAAGGCGTGGGACCCAAATATTAATCTACACATCAACCACATGGGTTCAGTCCAGCCTCTGTTACAAGGCCTGGCCGAATTCACTAAAAAGACAGTGAACCCCCTGAATGAAAGAATAAGGAATTTAAAAAAAATTACCGGTGGTGCATTTGTTTGTGGGAAGACAATACATCGTGCAACCAAGTGTCACTTCCGTAAGACAAAAAATTGGCAACCTGGAAAGGCATAAGTAACTCTAACTAAGAATGGGGTGATTGTCGTTGTAGTATCAAAAGTGAATCTAATAGCAAATACACATGAGTGGGTGGTGGTCTTGGTGCGCAGTTATTACGTAAAAGAGGGAGAAGTGGTGTTTATGGACTACTCCAGCACTTCTCCTTTTGATGGAAGGATAAAAATGATGCTGAAATTGACGTTTGGGAAAACGCTTTAGCTGAATGATGTCTTACATGTCCTTGACTTTAGGAGGAATTTAATTCTATCACATAAAGGAAGTTTGATGGGAAGGGCTGTAATTGTAATTGATTGTTTTTTTCTGAGTATTCTTAGAGAATTAGTGAAAGTTAGTAGTTCTTTTGTTTATATTATTGAGTCTATTGATTTACGGCATAATAGATTAGGACATGTGAATGTTGCTTCATTTAAAAGAATGGGGAAACTTTTATTAATATCCAATTTTATTAATACTAATTTTGAAAAATGTGAAACTTGTGTGGAAGCAAAACACCATAAAAAACCTTTCAAATCAGTTGAAAGAGAATTTGAATTATACGAATTTGCTCGGGTGTTATAGTGGAAGGACCAAAGCAGTATGGACTTTGGGATGGACGTGTGCGGCGTGATGATGGTGCTTTCTCATGAGAGGTTTTTTGGTCCTGAGCCGAGGTGCCCACCTCGGTCGGACCGAACTCTAGGTCTTGGGCTGAGGTGCTCTCCTTGTCCCAACCAGACTCCCCACTCTCCTCAACTATACTATGACTATTGGACATGCTGGAAAGAAGACAAAAGAAGAAAGTAGATTGAAGGAAAGAGGCTTACCTAAAAGCGAGACTGACCTTGAAGACTGAAGACATATGACTGACCTGGAAGACACCGAAGCTAACGCGTGACCTCTAGAACACGAAAACTCAAAATAGGACAGAAGAAATGGGACCCCAAGTTCCCTATTTATAGCCACTGTAGTCGATCACGAACGATGATAGCTATAATTATATAACCCATCAAGTGCACTAATTATCAAGTAGTATAAAGATATCGTTCCCACGAGGATTTAACAAAATAAGTATTAGAACTATAGTTTCCCTCAATTATTTGAACAACCGAATTCTAACAATAGGAACTACTGAAAAGATAGAAAAAGAATGAATAAAAACAAAGGTAATTAATGACAAAACTTGCAACGATCTAGTTGGAAGCGCTAGGACAATTCGTCCACCTAAACCCTTCCAATGTATATCAATTTATTAGATTAACCAAGATAAATTATTATCTTCATAAGCTGAAGTTTTTCAAAATTTATTTAATATTCCCTCTCAGGATATATTAAATCTACCTCTATTGCATTGGATATATCAAATCTACCTTTATTTAATAACCCTTCCAATGAGGAAGACAAGTTTTTTAAAGTTGTGGAGTTCTCCCTTTTCTTTCTAGTGCTTCTAGAATCATCCCAATTGGAGTCCAGATGTGAGAGTTATGCCCAGATTACTAAATGTGACGAAACTGTTAGACAGTTGTATGCCCTTAGCTTCAATCAGAAATATGTACATTATGAATTTATTATAAATGAATAAAGTACGCATTTGATTCATGTTCTGATGGTGTGTTTCTGTAGAATACCCTTAAACTGGACACTTAATGAGACTTGTGTTAGTTTAGAATGTTCACGGCCATTGGGTATGTCTGGGGAGATTTATCCTGCCAAGGCTAACACTGGTGTGCTGCCAACTGCCAATTCTATTAGTGTAGAATTAATAGAATCTTTGAACCGGACCAGATTTTCAGTATTGCCCTGGACCTTGGAGATAGATGGGCAAAACTGGAAAGTTACACCTGACCCCTAGACTCGATGGAAACCAAGACTGCCGGCAGCCGATTTCAATTGTTGAGATTTTGTTTTGCAAAATATATTTATATAAAGATATATATATATATATATATAT